CGTCTCTCTCTCCTCTCTCTCTCTCTCTTTTGTTTTTTTCTTTGCAGACGAGATCGTGGAGGAGTACAGGCGCCACAGGGAAGGCCCGGACCCCGGCACCAAGCTGAAAGAGAACGTCGGCTGCCAGGTGTACCGGATCAAGAAATTTTTGGCGGCCATGGCGAGGGGAAAACAGAACTTGGCGGATTTCCGTTTCCTGGACGACACCGCCAGGATACACGGGTGAGTGACGCGTCCCCCGTCGTGGGCACGGCCTTTGAGCGAGCTCTGCCGCCTCTCTGACGGTTTTTGTCTCTGTTTTCGCAGCTGGGTCAGCTCCCTCCGGCGGGCGAAGATGACCGTGACCACCATACAGCACTACGTCCTGAACGTGGGATGTTTCATGCGTTTCCTGTCGGAGACCCCTCCGCAGTCCTGCCGCTTGACCAAAAAAGCCCTGGTCGGCCTCCGCAGGGAGATGGGGGCGCTCCGCAAGTCTCTGAAGAGGGGCGTGGCCGTCCACCAGACACAGGTCAAGGAGGGCAAGGAGGTCAACATCATCCGAAAGCCCACCCTCCGCAAGTGCAGGGAACTCGCCGCCAAGGCCATCCCGGACCTTTTGAGTGAGTGGTCTTTCGTCTCCTCCCCGCGCCTCTCACCCGCCGGCCGACGGACCTTTGAACTTTGTGCTTTTCTCTCGTCTTTAGCACTCCTGGAGAACGAGCCCACCCAGAAGACCCTGTGGAGGTTCTACGAGTACTTTGCGGCGCTGCTCGCCTCCGTGTACGGCCACAGAGAGGGGGGTTCTCCAAAACATAACTATGCAGGAGGTTCTGGGGGCCCACAAATCGACCTCGGAGAAGGCGTACCTGATAAACGTGAGCGTCCGACTCTTCTTTGCCTGATGTGTTTTTGTGTGGATTTTTTTTTAAATTGATTTGTTTATTGATTGATTTATCTGTTTATTTTTATTTCTTCCCCTCGTGTGTCCACAGGTCGCCAACCACAAGACGAACATGGCTTTCGGGTCGGCCCAGATCGTTTTGACGGAGGAGTTCAGTTGGGTCAATCGACTCCTCCGAGTCAAAGATCAGCCCCCCGGCGGACCCTCCGCCAAGTTCCTGTTTTTCACTTCGACTTTTTGTACAACGTGCTCTGGAGTAATTGTAAATCCCCAAGTGCATCGTAAAAAGACAGAATTATGAGGTCACCTGCACACTCTAAAAAAAAAAAAAAATCGGATGGACCAAATAAAGCCCAAATTTCAACATCTTTGTTTGGGCTAAATGAAGGCTATGACGGGCCGACTTAATTTAGCCCAAAAAACAACGTCTTAATGACGTCTGGTGCTGGGTGGGTTTTATAAGACAAATCTGAGAATTATGAGCCTTAAAAGAGATCTTACTATTGTGTCCAACGTCTCTTCCATCTCTTGATTCTTTCTCTTTAATGTCTTTCTGAAGATATATATGGGAATGATATCTGAGGTATATTTGAGAAATACAAGAACAAATCGAGAATGCAATTTAAAGATGAATTGTCTTTATTAATTAGAAATAATTGTAAAAACAGATAACAGGGTTTGGTTAGAATCCTAACTATAGTAAGGCACATTTGTTCGTAAAGGCTTTCTTGAAATGACTGCAGCTACCTCATGGAACTGCTGACTACCCAAATAAAACATAACTAAATAAAACACAGTCCCTCACGGACGATTGCTGGCTTACCAAAAGAAAATATAAAATACAAACAAAAGCAGGCCTGTTCCTCTCTCGATCATCCACTCCGTCGCTTCCCTTTTGTGCTTCTGCTCCTCCATGAGAGATGTGAGACCGGTGTGCTTCACAGATGCTGCTCATTAGCAATCACACCACCGGCCTCGCGACTTTCTCTCATGTCCCCCGGCCGTCCTTCTCATAGGACGGCAAATTGGCTTTGGGCCGGATCTGGCTTAATTTCGGCTGAGATTTTGGCCCACATACCGCATGGAATTACGGGCCAAGGTTGGCCCAAGTGCTGTTTGCCGTAAGTCAACCAGATCAAGGCCGGGAGCAAACCAAAACTCGCCCAGAGCTTTTCTATGTACCCAGATATTATCCAGAACTGGCCCAAAACAACGCCGTAATCCCAATATGTCAGCCAGACAAAAGCCAAACGGCCACCACCTTTAGGCCAGAACTCAGCCACATCTTATCCAGAAGCTGCAGAAAACAGCCATAACTGGGCCAATATTATACCACAGTCCCCAAAACTGAACCAGAAATTATCCCTGTGTAATACTTATGTATTGTGCAAGGAATAATAAAAAAAATGACACTACAGAAATGCAAAGAACAATATTTTATTGAGAAGGGAAGAAAATTTCAGCCAGTTAAAAGGAAAAACAAAAAAAGACAAACCAATAGAGTAAGACAAAACAAAATAACTATCATTCACATTACAAGAATAATAAAAAGACACAGCAATGAATTAAAATGTTACAAAAAAAAGTGTAAGTGGCATGAAAATACGGCCGAGAGATTAACGAATTGAAACAAGAAAACATGTAAACAGTAAAAAACACCAGCAAATTAGGAGAACATCTTCATCAGTTTGACAACACACATGCAGCAAATACTCAGCGCAACCACATACAAAAACGCACTGCAAACGGCAAGAGACTTCAAAGTCCTGCAACAGAAGAAAACATGCAAACATGAAAAACACCAGCAAGTCAAGACATCAGTGTCAGAACACACATGCTGCAAATACAATGCAAACAATAAATAATAATAAATTAAACAATAAACAGCACTGTTGAGTAGATATTTGCATGGTTGGTCAGACATTTGGAGTGCGTTTCTGTATTTGGATGTGTTTTAGCTCATGTGATAAAGATGTTCTTATTTTAAATAGGTTTTTTTTCTGTTTGCATCCATTTTCTTCTGTTGCAGTGTGTTGAGCCATCTCAGCCACCGTACTAAAAATCAACAGAAACCAAGCAATAAATTAAATTGATACAACCAGTAAAGCAAAAGTGTAAATGTGTCATGCATGCCACACCACCACTGCTATGACATGCTATAGTATCCTTACACTAACAGTGAATATATGATTAAAAAGACTAAAAGAAATCTTACATCTTATTAATCGGTCATTACTTGAGAGGCTTTTTCTCTGTGGTCTGGGTGTTTCATGATGTCACGGTGACTGTATTGCCTGTCCGGGAGACTGTAAAGTTGAATCCTGGTCCCACGTCAATTGACTGTGATGTTCTGTGAGGTCTTGTGAACTTCTCTACTTGCCATGGCTGCAGTAGCCTCCTCATCGGGGTCATTTTCATCCATTAGCCGCCTGTTTCATCTTCAGGAAAGGTTTTTTTTTTTTTAAGGATTACTAAATTTGATTAAGAAAGAGTGGTATGGTCATGTAAAGACTATTCAGTGACAATTTCCCTTTTTGCAATTCAAAAAGAAATGTGCATTATAATGTGTTAAACTGCACACACATAAGGACCTGTAAGAAAGGTCTTTGTTAATGAATTAACGTTACAAAATAATCAATCCTACTTTATTTTCCATTTTGGTGGCCTCAGGAAGATCAGCTGTTATTCAGCAAGAGGCAGCTTCCGATGTTCTTCACTATAACGTTAATTTTCAATGAAAAACAGAATTCAAACATCAATTCTATTTTCTCTCCAACATAAAAACAAATCAAATCCAATCACACAACCCCCCCCCCCCCCCCCCTAAAAAAAAAAAAAAAAAAAACAATCGTATCCACATGTTAAGATAGTGAAAAACTATAAACTTACCTTGATCATGTATTAAAACTCCAAAAGATAAAATCAATATCATGATTGTCGAAGTTAGAACAACTATTTGAATTTCACCGCGACTGTTGATGAATAGCTGCTACGCAACTTACGGATCCTTTCCCAGATAGCAATGAGTCGGCGGCGCTCCGGAGATAGTAGAAGCGTCAGAATGGCGTAATCGCAAACACGTTTGACGGCGGACCGCTGTTTTAAAAGCGGCTGCCGCCTTCGTTCTGTGGCCGGCCCGCCGGCGTTCCACCGCCATTATACCAAAGGCGGACCTTTAGCGGCCCGTCGGAGGCAAACGCTCTTGTCGAGCGAGCTGCCCACCACTTATTGCACTATATATTTATTTATTTAATTTAATATTTACAGCATGCAGTTTATCAAGAATAATGATTGCTCAAACCAGACAAATTTCCATTTGACATTTTATTTCCACATTTGAATGTACAGTAACTGTCATTAAACAATGTCAGATCGCTGAAATATAACAGAAAAATACAAACACACACAGCTTTCCAATACATTTTATAGTTAAAAAACACTTTATATATATATACAGTATATATATATATATATATATATATATATATATATATATATATATAAAACACTGTATAACACTTACAATACTTGCTAATAACATAAAGAGGTCAGCTCTGGGATGAAAAGAATTACCAGTAAACACAAGTAATGAGGATATTTGGTACCAAAGAAAGTGAAGGACACCAAATAATTTGAGAATATACCATTATAACTGCAATGCTGACCTGTGGCACAAGGATTTACAAGCTATATTTAACAATAGAATAACAGTTAAGCACTGTGACAGAATGAAGTAGAATATTTGGTACCAGGTAAAATGCAATTTCAAGTATCAGAGGTATGAAAAGTGAAAGAAATGAACTTTATGAATTTTATTAAAGTTTTGCCGCTATATACTTTGCCTGCAGAATGCGCTTGTGGAAGTAAAGAAGCTGGCTGAGATTCTTTCGGACATACGTCAGCAGGGTTCGTGCATAGAGCATGTAGAATCGTTAAGCACTGACGAAATGAAATAAGCCAATACTAAAGTCACGGCAAGTAGAATATTTGATACCAGATAATGTGGAGAAATCAAGTATTAGATGTATAATCTAGGATTTACAAGCTATATTTAAATAGAAGAGTTAAGCACTGTAACAAGCCTTTTTTAGATGTCTTGAAGTTACTGTCTGCAGGATTAAAAAAGGGCTCCAGTTGTCAAGTGATGCTGGGGTGTGGGGTGAGGGGGGTGGGGTGATGCAAGTGATGCTCCTTTCAGGTGATGTGTAACATTAACCTGGATCGCCTCATCAGTGGCATCCTGGGTCGCCGGGTTCTTCCGGATGGCCCCTGTAGAAAATAAAGATCTGTCATTCCATTTGAAAGGCATAAAGTCATACACATCTACTTAAATATAAAAAAATATCCAACTTACTTTGAACAATGGTCTTAAGGAACATGTCTCTAAAACATGCTTTATCACCTACACCAGACCAGGTTATATTGATGGAAAGGTGATTAGAGAAGATACTCTGAAGCATTCGCCACATGGTTGTCTTTAGGTCCCTCTCACATTTGATTGTCAAAAACCGAAGCTGAAAATACAAAAAAAAGTGTAACAAATTACATTTATCTGAAGCTTCTCATACATTTAAAATGTAACAGGGTGTGGATTCAGACTGTAGAATATGCAGTGTACAATCTTAATTTTACTTTTTTGAAAGAAAAAAAAAGTTTTGTTTTTTTTACTATGGCGATATAAACGAAATCAAAACACTTACAAATTGTTCCAGGAGTTCTTTATCCGGCCTCATACTGTTGTCAAGAAACGGCAAATTTTCCTGGGTGTCTAGGGGGAGTAACAGATCCCCTGGCAGGGATAACTCTCCAAAAGACATATTGGCACTCAAAATGTTGCAGCATAGGGTCCATTTTGTTGTCCATGCTACGCACAACATCACCAAATTCTCCAAGGGTGTACTCACACTAGCCAGTTTGTACCGTGCCAGAGCGCGTTTGACCACCAAAGCGCGGTTCGTTGGACTATTCTGAGTGGTCCGAACCGTGCCCGGGCGCGGCTCGATTAGCCAGCCCTGGCCAGCTTGGAAGAGGTGGGCCAGAGCACGGTTCAGTTGGACTCGGGCACGGAACAGGACGCGTGAAGTCATGGTTTTAGGAACTGTAGTCCGTAATCAAAGCTGCAAAGTCCTTTCTGCACTTCAGCTGGTACCTTGCAAACCTCCTCATACGAGCAGCACGATTACGTGAAAATTTTCGCGCCACAAAGGCGACACATATGTTTAACAACAGGCTGTGAGAGGGCTGTGGACCAAACGACAGAAAATTATCCACAAAGAAAACAGAGCGATGGACTCCATAGTGTTCAGAGAGCGCCGCTCTTCTTGTTTATCCCGAAACCTATGGAAACCGCCGCACCATAATGATGACGTAAGCGTGCTCCGGCACGAATGCTGAAACCCTATGTGAGTGCAGGCCAGAGGGGGAGTGGGGGGGGGGGGCAATCGTACTCGGGCCCGGTTCATGGCAACCATGCCTAGTGTGAGTACACCCCAAGACGTCGCAGCATTGGGGTCTGATCTGCACCTACAGGGGTTCCCAGAATAAAAGAATAAAGTAGTCAGTCCGGGTCCCTCAACTACTATGACAGTTATATCTAGGTCTACTACATGTACAGATGGGCCTTATTGGGAATTACACCAACAACCAACGCTTAAGTTGTTTGCAAGTTGTACCTGATTGCCCAGTGTGAGCAAACATCTTCAACATTGTCCCATCTTGCTTCACCTGCTCTCGAAGTGAGCAGCTGTCATCTGAAGCTACAAAATGAAAGGCATATGGTAATTTTGGACCTACATCACACACAAAAAAGTTAAATTTAACGTGCATATTCTCACCTGCTGGTGCATTGCTTTTCATTCTGGAGTCTCTGTAAATCTGCAAAAAAAATATATACATATATTTTTAAAAATTTCAACTAAAGGCACTATTTTCAATACTGTTAAAACAATACACAGTAAGACATATGCCTAGAATATACCTTCATAGCAGAAAACTTCATGCTGTACAAGAGGTGCCAGGTGAGTCCAAGGGCCAATAACTGAGCGATGACTGTCTATTGTTTATTAAGGCACCCAGGCCAAGGAAGTTTTCAAATGGGAAACATGATATGTTATCAAGGACAGCATACTTTTTGGCATCTTGTCTGAGGAGGTGCACCAAACCAATCCATGCATGTAATATGTCACATGTTCTTTTCCATAAAGCTTGCTGCAGTGATCAAAGAGAACCAATATTAACCACTATAGCTACATTGTGAACTGAACTAGCAGCATACTTGTTCGGACAAACAAAATAATTTACACAACCTATACACAATATAGTATATTATTATACAAGTTATACTTAGTCTATCTAGATGTAAAGCTTTGGCTAACTACTGTAAGTAGCTAATTATTACATTTCTACATGTAACGTTACTAGCAACATTGCTTAACCCCAGTGTGTCCTAACAAAGGCAAAACGGCATGTGTTTTAGCTAACACGTGCTAACGTTAGCCACTCTAGCAACAGGACTAGCAGCATATGCAAGAACAAAAAAGACTGTAGAAGAAATAAAAAAAGGGTCAAATTTACAATGCTTACGGATGATAAATTTACTTATTTACAAAATTTTAACTTCACTGTACAGTCTCTTTATTATCAAATTTCTACATCATGTGATTAACACTCCTCGATTTGAACTAACCCAAAGAATGAAGTGGCATCCTCTCTCTGGTGTCTGGCCACCAACAATTCTTGGAAACAGAATTTTCTGTGCATCATACTGTAATGAAAGAAATAGGAAACACATACTGTGCCATTACATGTATAAACATGCAGGAGAGCTTAATATATATTTATTTTGCAAATTGTACAGTACCTCAAGAATTTTCAAATGAGAATCTGAAACTGTTTTTGAAGCAAGCCAGTCTCTATGCCACAAAATGAATGTGTCAGTCGTCAAGGCTATACACTAAAGAGAGAACAAAATTACATGTATATTGTATAAAGGAAGTGCGCTACATCTGTCACATAACCTGTATGTTGAATAAATCGCACAATAGGAATACTTAATTACGTTTCTGAATAGTAGTGTGAAAAAAAGTTTATGTTCTCAAGTGATTACTTACATTCTGGGTCTCTGCTGCAATTTGTGCAACCCTACAATTTACTGCCTTTAAAGCGCAATACGAAAATAAATTTGAGGAAAATTATGATGTGAGTTTCAATATCTACTGTACATGTCTTAAAAGTTAAACATTACATTTTAGATAAGAAGTTCACTAAAAATATTATCAAGAATATTAAACAAATATTTGTCAAAATAATTGGTACTCACATTATCAGTTAGCCATGGCATCAAAATACTAATCTTTCAAGAGATCAGGTGGGCAAACGCTTTTCAGGTCACGTAGTTCCAATGAGGTGTAGTGAGAGATTTTTGCGATGACAGTGGAGTCTCTCTTCTCGACAGAATAGAGATGTGAGATTTTGTCCTAATGTTGAAAAGTTGTGTTAATATTTTTATTTCCCTGTTATGGTATACAACACCATGGGTGCAGCCCATATGCAACACTCCACCTGTGTAACAATAACAGAAAGGTTATTGAGCAAATGTTTTCTGCAAAATTATGGGTATTAAAACAAGAAAATACGACATGGAATGACAATATCATACTTCCAGCTTTCTTCAGCTTCACGAACATTTTGGGGTAAATCTCAACAGGGTCTTCTTTCCCCGCTGATTCTGCCAAGCCCGTTCCCTTGGCTGTGGTTTCGCTAGATAGCAGGTAGGGACAGTGGGAATCTCGTTCATCCATTCATGCGCGTCACTAATTAGATGACGAGGCATTTGGCTAGCGACACGGCGAGACGCCATTGAGCATGTATCGTCGCCTGGTACGATACAAGGGGTCTCACCTTTCCGGATTGTTAAGGATGCCCGTCACCCATACTACCTGCACGCTGGTAATTCGGTCGAACGACCAGCGCACTTGACGACAAAACCGGCTAACTTTGGAAGGTAGTATACTCACGTCACCCAGTAGACATGAAGGCCAATCATGCTGCGAATTAGTGTCACTAGTGCATCCGCATTGTTCCAGTGGGCAGCATTATGTTTAATCATATCGAGTCCCGTTTCCGTCCCTATCCTGCCAACCGGCACCGGCCTTGTCCGCAACCGTTGCTCCCCCTCTCCCGCATCTGCACCAGCACCTGTAACAGAACACAAAGAGAGAGATAATTAGTGAGGGTCAAGTTCTGCCCCCCCCCCACCCCGCGCTTCTCTGCCATCAGGGTGCCATTAGATAGGGACTCATATCCATCTTTCGGGTGAGTAGGTTGGTCATGAGACTTCTTCCTCGCAACATTCCTCGCTCCCTGGGCGAAATGCTCCTGCCCCGTACTGGGGAGGTCTTCCTGCCATTGGCATGTCCCTTCGCTAGGAGTTCGGCCATATTGGAGATGCCCGTCCCATTACCGCCCATGAGTTGGTGGAGAAGCATGCCTGCTTCTAGACAGAATGCCCATCTTTCGGTTTTGTACCTAGGGAGAGGGCATTAGCACTTCAGATTGCCTACCCAACCTGCAAATGACAACGGGGGAGTCATCATACAAGTGATAGGTTCTGAACTCGGGTTCTGCCCTTCCGGTACGTCCGGTTCCTTCCCCTTCCCCTGACCCTACAGGTAACCCATTACCAGATGTGAGCTGATGCGATCAGCCCATTCATTGGCGTTGGGTCCTGTGTCTTTGCCCTCAGGCTGGGTCCTTTCGAGACATTACGCTTGCTACTACTATGGCACCCCTTTGGCAACCGGGCTTGTCCGCTCCCGTCAGTATCGAGGCTGTCATCGTTCAACCGCCCTTGAGTGCTCGAGGTCAGAACCGCAGCCCCCTTCTGTACAATGGGCTCCTCATACCCATCGCCTTCACAGGAGCCGCGACCCCAACACCCCGAGCACTCGCCTTCTACTTGTCTATAGGGGGCCGAGCAGGTCCCCGCCGAGCCGGTAGTCAGAGATGCAACCTCCTCTCACCGACCCCACGAGGATCCACACCAGCCCCCATTTCTGTCCATACCGTTATTCTGTACACTGCCGTGTGACAAAACCTATTCAGGCATGTTGACACTGTTAACCCTTCACGGGACCAGCTTGGCACATTACCCCATTCAGGCCTGTACATCACAGCAGGCATGCACAACGGGAATCACGCCCTCGATACCTACTTCCTTCGGGTGGAGGAGAACCTCCGCAGAATTTCCAACGAGTAGAGGAGGCACCTCCGGCTCATCAACTTCGCAAAGGATTTCATCCTCCGCTTCCCCATGCCTATGGTTTCAAGCAGTTTGGTATTGCCTTTGTGCCATAGGCCTCTCACGCCCAAGGGGAACCCGAAGATCTGTACATGCTTAACACCCAATTTCGATGCGATCACATTCTTATAGGGCCCGTAATAGTCCTCTTTTTGCAGCCCTGCCACCGTGAGAGTGTCAGGAGCCAACTCATATCGGACCGTTACGTCAATGACCAGGGTGCAATCCCCACGGATGAGTACCAGGTCAAGTCGTCTCACAACCACGTTACAGGTTCTGAACTCCCATTCCTGGCGTGCCTCCCACCCGAGGGACTCCGCCTCAGCCCCGAGGAGACGGCACAACTTGTGGTGCCGGGCAATCCTGGCCACGCTCATGGTCGGGCATTGCCCTAGTATGTGTGAACATGACTCCAACCTATGTGGACATCTCCTGCAAGTTGCCTCAGTCTTGCTTCTACCCCGACACCGAAACTCTCGAGTGGGATACACCCCGGCACGTAGCTGAAGAGCCGTAATGTACTGCCTTTCGGTCATACATGCGGGCTTCCTCAGCCACGAGTTGCTGGCAACCGCTTCCCTAAAGCCGAGTATACCCACTCCCTGGGTAGGGAGACCTGCCCACTTCAGGAATTCGTCACGTCTCCAATCGAATGGAGAAACACACGTGTGGGTCAGCAGGCCGGTGGCGTCTCCTCTATCGTTCAATACTTCCTCACTAGCCAGTGGGAAGTTCTCATTAGTGCCACCGGCCCTCATCCACGCCCTTTCGAACTTGGACCGCATGTATGGAGTCAGCATCAATGCCCTGGTAACCGGATCTACAGAGCAAGAAAGGCGGTGAAGCCTTCTTGCTTGCATGGACGGAATGTGCCGAGTGAGCTTGCAAATCCCCAGGCCACCATCCCGGTTTTTTCGCTTACAATAGCCCATCAGTGGTGGACGGAGCAAGGTGCAACCACTCCTTGACCGCCCCCTGATTATTCCGTCCGCGGCTCGCAGCACATTATCACCAACCTCCCCCAGGTCGGCTTGATAGTAAAGGCGAGGAAGGGCATACTGGTTAAGGAGAACCACCCTCTGCGAGGGTTTAAGGAGGGATTTCCCGATGCTCTTGACCCATCCCTTCAGAGCACCTGTCAACTCAGGCTCAACCACCCCTCCCCAGGGGTTAACCTTCACGCCCAGGTACTTAACAGCCTCGCTGATGCTGGTTTGTAAGATCGCCTCCCCCCCAGTACCCATGGAGGGAAGTCGTTGACTGTAAATGATCCAGCACCAGGTTTCACGTAGAAACTTTTGCATTTTCTTGGTTGAGTCCTGAGCCCGGTACTCTGGCAGAACGGGTCGAGCAGATGTAAATTGTACGCCATATCCTTCCAAGATCCTCCTACCAGCACAAGGTCATCAGCAAATGCAAGGCACACTACTGTTTGACCCCCTTCCATAATGTAGCCACGGCCATTGCGTTCAAGGCCTTGGATCAGTGGATCCAAGGCAAGGTTGAAAAGCAAGGGGGACAATGGATCCCCCTGCTTCACACCAACCCTCACTTTGATGTCGGGGGTATTCCTACCCCCGAACTCGACACAGGTAGAACTGTCCGTGTAGATCTGCTGGATCAGACCTACCATGTGGGGATCCACTTTGATTAGCCAAGAGCCGACAGGATGTGCTCATGGGAAACGGAGTCGAACGCCTGTGCAAAGTCGATAAATACCACTGCGAGTGGGTTGCGCTCTTCTTTGCAGTGTCGGATGAGGCCTCGCTGCACCTCGATTTCTCCGCACACCCGGGGGTAGCACGAAAGCCCCTTTGTCTAGGGTGAACTGGGCAAGATTCAGTTAGCCGCTTTGTTAACACCCTAGTGAAGAGCCTCAAGATCATAGACCCGATGGTGATGGGCCTCCAGTTGCCCACCTCCATCACCGCCCCTGGGTCAGATGTCTTGGGAATAAGTACCGTTCGACTTTTCTTCAGGCGGGAAGGAACCACTCCCATAATCCACCACATGTTGAAACAGCTCAGTGAGGGTCTCGCACCCGGGGTCCCAATTGAGAATATCCCGCTTCCCAATCCCATCTGGGCCCGGTGCGGAATCGTTCGAGGCCTGCCGGAGGCTAGACTGGATCTCACCCTGGGAGAGTGGCCCCATGAGAGGAGCGTTATCAGCACACTCCTCCGCCCTGAATTGACCCAGCCCACGGAAGGGGGAGGGTCCCCCATTTTGCCTGGAAGAAGTTGTGAATAACTTCAGCTGAAATGGGACACCGTGTGTCCTGTCTTCCATCAAGAATTTCAGCTGCTAGGCGGGCCGGGTCATGTTTGAATCGGTATTGGGTCTTGTGGTAGGCGCGTTTATGGGCAAGATATCTTTCACAGCACCTATTCCGATACCGAGGGCGAGCTCGCTTGTTACCTGAGGACGGCGGTCCTCTGGGACCACTCTCCCCTCCATGGACGCATCCTTGGAGTATCCGTTGCGTTGCCGCTTCCACCAGTTCGGGTACCTGGTCGCAGCCTTCCAGCCAGGCTGTAAGCGCTTGAATGAGTCCCGTGTCGTCGCCCTCCCCCTCGCTCACCATTTTATGGGCCACCTCTCTGAGGAGAATCAGGAGGCCACCCTCTGGCAAGTTGGGTTGAATGGGAGGGACCGACGCACTCGCAGAAGGCTCAGACGTATCCTCACTCTCCCTCGCAGCTCGAGATTTGTGCTGTCGTTTGGCGGGATGACCCTCTGCGGAGGAGTCCAAAGTGCTGAGAGTCTTAATCTCCGCCTCAGTCTGCTGAGGAGCAGAACTTCCCCTTTTCCTGCTCAACTCAATCATCTTTCTGTTTCTAACCTCCGGGTGGACGTGCAGTTCGTGAATACTCCACGCTCGTACCGTCCCAAACATAGCCTCACACCCCTCACACTTTACCGCACCAGCCGGTGCGGCGACCTTCACTCCTCCGCATTTGGGGATGTGACAAGCTATTTTATGGGCCGATTCGAGGTTTTTCCGCACGATCTGCAGCTGTATCT